TGTATTTATTTGTTTTATCTGCGGCAAAGCCGCCTAATTTTAAATGTATAGATTTTCCGAAATATATAGTAAAATCTAAATACATGCATAACTACTGGCTACCTAGCATTCTTGTTTGGGTGTGGTCACACCATGCACATCTCGTGTGACACACTGTTACCAGGGTACGTGTAACTCCGTTACACCTCATCATTAGCATCAAATGCTGTCTTGGTTGGGCACAGTGACAACAATGGCACTGACAGTGTATTATAGCCTTCCGATTATATGGACAGTATATTTTCTGTAAGGCTGTAAAAATTTCTATAGAGAAGTTTCTTGTAATGAATTATACAAAGTGTGAAACTGCAGCTGGTACAGTAAGATCTTCCACTCGTCACATTATGGGGAACATCTGAGCAAAATTTAAATACGCTTTGACAGTGCTGATCGAACCTGTTTGGGAGGTATGGAGAGCAACGCATGTCTTCGATTTGAGTATATATCTTCTAACGGCATTGGAAAATCTGACAGTTTTCAGGAGTTATATACCTATATATTCGGAATATTTCAATGCATCAATGGGATGCCTACCCCGCTAGCAAGAACACCAAATGATTGGAGCAGAACTGAATCTGAATACGCAATCGCACGAGCCGACAAGAGATGAAAGTCTTGCCGAATCTTCCTTTGATGATATGAAGAGATTGATACTAAGAAGGAGCTTGTGAAATCAGCACGAAAGTTACCTTACGCCTCGCAGCTACGGGCCAAATACCAGACACGTCACCATTATGTCAAACGAATCTGTTCGATCATCGCTTTTGCACGCGACCATCGCGGCAACTCATTGCGTTCAGAACGAGTAAATATCTAATACAAGATCTCGATGCGTTAATTTGCGTGGCAGCATGATGTTCCATGTTGCCACCCCATATCTAAAATGGAGAATGGTCAGAAAGCATAGGTGCTAAAATTAAAGCTCATAATTTTTGTGATTTGAGATGAAAATCTCGACCCCATCACTGCAAAGAAAGGGTGGCGTTAAAGAAAGCGGGTTCGTAATCGTTAAAGTTTCGCGATATTCTTCTGCTATGTCTAGACTTTATGGAACGACGCACGTGCGGCCAGCCACGATGGTCAAAGAAGCACGCATGTGGCTGTTTCCAATTTATCGTCCGCATTTTAACTTCTTGGAACCCTAGAACCATAGTAACAAACAGATTTGCCATAGTATCAGAATATGGAAAGCTGACCAAACGTTTACAAAAAGTATTAGGAGCTGTCAATTATTCACTCAGTATTAATAATGTTGACGTATCTATGCTGTGGCTATGATCAGTAATTATAAGGCATGACATCATTAAGTGATAAAAAATTCTGAGGTATGACAAATCATTGTCGAATGGAATTTAAGTTGATAATAATTCTCGAATAGACGACTGATACGTGTGAGGTTCGCAGTCAGAGTAGCTGCACAAATTCAAATGCTTGTCTTCCGCTTACTTAGAAAATCGCAAGAATGACATTAATTCTGTGCAAGCTGCAGAAAATATTTGATCTGTCATCAGTAGCTATATCGTAAGAATTACTGCTTGATTTTTCCGCCTTTGATCGACACGACGACACAAAAAAAACATCGAGTCTCTTGACGCACAGCTCAATGTTTACTAATTGCAATATATCTGGCTTTGCGTTGACGACTCCATGTTTCTGGCTCACACAAGTATTTCGAATGCCAATCATAAACAAGCTTTATAATTGTAATATCAAGCTCTACACGCAAATGTGCTGCGGCAACTACTAGATTGTAGCTTTCGCACTATAGCCAACCTAAGGATGGCACGGAGCCGAAGAGTAGAATATTAACGCGATATTTCTTTACTCCAATTATTATAATTTCAGCTACCACAATTGCATGTATATGCTACAGTTTTAAGTATGATTACTATTTATGAAAATAAAACGAAGAAGAGCCACAAAATCTAGCAGTTATTCATATATTCTTGCATTCAAATATGTTGTCTATGTAGTAATTAAACTCGTAATCTTTATGTTCGGTCTATCATTTGGGATTAGTTCTTGTCGCTATATCGTCCTTCGATAAAACGATTGATGAGCATATCGTTCTCTGCCGATCAAACGATTCATCGATATTGCAAGGTCAGTTCCTTGTAATGTTTCCAAAAGATATGCATCTGTTCAAGACTTATGGGTAAACCACACCAGTTGTCGAGCAATATAACGTCAATCGTTATATCTTCACTCTTTTTCTATCTTCTTAAGTAAAGAAAAGATGATCACATAAAAAACTATATAGTCAAATTCTCTATGACTTTAGTCAGATGAATTCAGTAAATACGATGTAGGCATTGCTAATTAATGGCTTTAAAGCTCTAACGGCATCATCGCTGATACATCGCAAGCATCAATCTTCCAGCTGGCTGCAAAGAAACGCGGACAGCGTCTATCCTTTTCTGACAGATCCCATAGTGTAGCATGTATCCAGAAATGATACCTCTGCTTGTTGCACGCAAGGTACATTTACACATCCTCAACTTAGTTTAAGATGTAAAATCCCAATTCTTGATCATACTTTTGTCCAATTGCACTAATACTTTAGCAGATAATTCTAGCCTTGTATTATACAATTTGGCTACGCTCAATTCATGTACATATCTTAGGTATACAAGATTACTAAATAATTAGTAATAGTCATCACGTGCATTGCGCTACAGATGCAGATGCAATAGCATACAGCCGGCTGTTCAATCAGCAAAGCACACAAGCTTCGCTGTGTAGAAGCCAGCTCGGGAAGTTCTACAGCGAAGCTAAACTCCATTTCCAATTTCCCTTCGTGCTCCACAGGTAATCCGACATTCATAGCTATGCGTCTTTCTCTTTCTACACTTTTGGCGACAATGAGCGCAGCCACACTGATGGCGACAAGTACTGGAGCGATGGTTTCCGACAGTGCCCCACCCATGAGAGCTTTGGAAACAGCTTCGACCACCGAGGTTGCCGCTGGCGCTACGTACACTGCTCGTGAATTGGAGACCGCTGAAGTTGACAAGCCCTTAGAAGTGCGTCGTCTGAGAAACAAACATAAGCACAAGCGTAACAATCACAAAAATAAGCACAGAAACAAACACAAATCCCACCACCTCTAGCGTGGATAAATTTAGCGAAGATGTCAGCATCACCAACCCCAGCTGCCGCTTTTAACGTGACCATTAAATATCGTTTTCAAAACATGACTTCATTCTTTTGACTTAAAGCGTTGCATAATTTTCGTTGGTATTGTCGAACTGTCCATAATGCTGGTTCCCTAGGACATATACTGCATGAGATCGCCTGAACTCAAGAGATCTGCCCACTTATTAGTCTTAAGCCTCGTAGACGTTAATTTCAATTTCTTTAATCTTGTCTTAGTTGATAAAAGACACTAAACGATACTAGATAAGAGTCCTTGACATAGCAGATTTAATCTAAAAACACTATAAATTGTGTCACCGGTCGACAATGCAGTCGGCGAGTGCTTTAATCTTGTACAATTCGATGTAGATTTCTTTCCATAGGAGTGGTTACCAATTCCTTAAACTAAAGAACATATTGGAAATCCATACCAAAGGTTGATCGAGAACTATCATCTGGAACTTTGTCACAATTCAAGTCCTGAAAATAGTTGAAATTATCGATTTGCCAGTCTGAAAACAAGGCGTCGTTTGCATATTCATTGACACTCACGCATCTCACTGATGTGCTTTGAACATTTTTATCGTCAGTATTGTCTAAAGAGTGAAAATCTTTGTGATGTAGGCAGAATGCCTTATCTCGCAAGAAAACGCTTTAAATCCTTTGCGATTCGCATTAACCTGTTCGATTCTTTATAGATCGTTTAAATTTTAATGAGGGTCACGTCCATTCTACTCTCATCTACACCAAGAGCATCGTTTAAGAATAAATACAATCCCCTCTGGACGAAATTCTACGATTAGTTTGATTGATGGGTCGAACAAGGAAGCGCTCGTCGTACTTGTGAAGGCACCGACTGAGCTAAGATAGTTTTTGCACATAAGCGATTGAGATTGCCAACATTATTTTGACGCACAACAAATTATAGGTGGAATTGAATGCAAACAATACGGTAAAAAGAAATCTTGGTGATATTAGATAAAAGCTTGGTGACCCAAGAAAAGGGTTCTTTCCGGCTGGACAGATTGACTGTATCGCATGGAAATGATTGATCAAGCAGAACTTTTTGCGCGATACCAGTTAACATCGCGATGGAGAAACATCTCGAATATCCGTCCGAATTTATGTTCGATGTTGGTATTTGAGATGGAAAGCCGATTTCCAAATTTACATGTCAGACAAAGTTCAGCAAAGTATCCGATTCATGTCATAAAGTTCTAAGAGAAGCGGCGGTGTATGGACGAAGAAGGTGTCCATCTTGAATGTTGTGATAAGTAGCCACGGACCGAGCTGTAGCAGATCATTTTGAATATATTCATTATCCACCTCTGAAATGATCGTGACGAACTCTTTCTGCTAGAGCTTACGATGACTAGAAAAACAGAAGCGCTACAGACGCTGATCGCAAAAGACGTCGAACATTGCCAAAGGACCTACTTTGTTATATCTGCATGATTCGAAAAGCACAAAGAAAATAATCTGCTGAACGCCAAACTCATCGAATACACATTAATTTACAAGTTTTAGCGGAAGCTTCTCTGGCATGACAGACTTCTTTAAGAGATCTGCTTTGAAAATCCGCCTCAGAATTTTACACAGTCGATCATTTGAAACGCCTCAAAAATGAATCAAGCGCAAATACACTAGGAGTCTTGGCAAAGTTTACCTTGACCGTATCCTATTCAGAATTTCCACCTGCTCGACGTTAGCACCAAACCGATTTAGCATTGATAAATGGAACAATTTTAGGCATTGGTATAGGTTGAGGTATAGACAAACCTGAAGAGCTTTATGGCAAGGTGTTCATGGATGCGTAAATTTGTTGAATTAGCAGTTTCAGAAGGCGCTCCAAATCCCAGAACGGACTTGATCATGGTTGGTATGCAAGGTGTCTGTATGGTTTCGGACGTTGCGGCACGCACATAATGCTCAGCGAGCCTGTTTTCAAAAGTCAATTGCACAAAACTCGTAAATCTATATCGCAATAAACGTATTCTATGTTGATGGTAAGAATCGAGAAAATAGACGAATACAATGACTACAAACTTTATCTCGCAATGTATGAGGATAAACACCAAAGTTGAAGAATTCAATGGCAGAAGAATCACTGAAAATAAATAAATAAATAAG